AGCCTGCGCGGCCTTTGGTAACCCGGGCGACGACCGAGCCGGTATAATTTTCGATGGCGTCAATACCATGTGTGGCAGGTGGCTGAATTTTACGGAGACTTGTCACGGTCTCCAACCCGCCTCCTTTCTCATCCGGGCTTGGGACCGGCAATGGCGGATAACATCTTTATCAAAAGGTCAACTTCTCGAGCGCGCGAAGGAATACGAGCTTCCTTAATGTATTGCCCTCTTCGACTAAATTCGGCACTGTCAGGTACAGAGAAGTGTGGACTGCACTGGCAGAATAGGGCATCCACTTCTGTTACATCAGCCAACTGAAAAAATCGAACTCTAGCTGTCTCAAAAAAACGCTGATCAACATCCTATCGGGATTCACGTAAAGAATTGCGTGAGATAAAGGAGAATCATCTCTTCTAAATTCTTCTGCTTGTTTGGATCAACAACAATAGTGAACAGCTCAGCCACCTAAGTTAGCTGACGACGTGGATGTTTGCGGATACGCCCGCAAGCTAAGCTAAAAGACATGCAGCAAAAGCTCAAGGAAAAAAGTACACAAGTTGGACTGCAAATAAATCGGTAAAACATGAAGAAGCTGCAATGGGTAATCGTTTCGAAACCAAGGCAGAATTCAAAGGCGAAAAAATAGAAGACGGTAAATATATTTACCTGAGGCTCAAAATTAAGATGAGAAATGATCAGACTGAAAAGATATGAGGGGTAAAGAGAGCCGACTGGCGGGTGCTCCACTCGATCAAGGCCATCTTCCCTGGCAACATCAGGAAAAAACTGCGCCCATCCCCATTTAAACCATCCCCTCAGCGATATTGTACACCTGTGAAAGGTGAGAATCACGAAGGCCGAAGAGCAGCAGTTATCTGTAACAGAGAGCACCATGGGAACAAAGGCTGGGAATCTGACGTAGCTACAAAAATCCCAAGAGGGTGATCAGAGAGCGAACGAGAGAGAAGGAAGTCGTCATTCAAAGCAGATAGGAGAATCTACAGTGGGTCAGCCACATAGCTCGGCGCACTAGCGGAACATGGTCGGCGATAGCCACTGATCTGTACTCTCGCAAGAGAAATATGGACTAAGTCACCAATTACGGCGGGAGATTTTATTAGGAGTCAGGTAGGCAGTCCCTGGAGAGAGAGAGAGAGAGAGAGAGAGAGAGAGAGAGAAAGAGAGAAAGCTCGAAACCGCGAGGAATGGTGGGCGCTCAACGGCCAGAGCGAATCGTCGCCGGCTACCAGGTGATTCAAGTGATCTTGCAAATAATTTAGACATGACCTCATTTGATAATAAGCACACCAATTATAAAAATATTATTTTAGTAAAAGGAGGAATCTTTTTTTACACCACCGACGTATACCCAAACCAGTAGAATGATAGTCTCTTGTTTCGAGAAGGACAAAATAACAGCTGAAAATGAATCAGACCTACTGCGTGACTTGAAATAAAACTGAACGCTCGACAACTACTTTAACCTCACTTAATCGTAATGAGTATCCATCAGTCTATCTGAGAACATCTATCACGCCCAATCGCAGCAGCCTGATTCATTTGCATACCAGTAAGAATCTTCTTTCCGTGTCACCGAGATGATCGCATTCAACGGAAACGACAATTCGAGGTCGTTCTTAGCGGCATAGCTGGACGTCGCCCGCATCAGCATCTGAGCACAACAGAGTCTGCGGATGAACAAGGCACAAAAACACGCAGTACCATATCCATTCTTTCGAGGTCCATGTATGAGCCGCTGGGCGCACATGACAGCTCTTTTGAGTACTTCTCTATCGTCTCGTTGTTGACCGCATACTTCAGGCACACGCCATGGAAAAGTTCATGTTTGTTGTAGTACTCGACCACCCAGATCAGGTTTTCGAATTGCAGACTGCCAACGACGAACATATGCCCCTCCTGCTTCAGACGACAGTGTTTGATTTGGCCGTCGACCCTTAACGAAATAAAAACATTACCATATTCGAATGCGTCTACAGTTGATGTTCAAATTTCTGGGTTGTTAACATACCTGAACGAAAGAGTGAACACGTTGTCGGATGTGCCACTGTAACGAATCAGAAATGCACCGTCAAGCGGATAGGCGTTCAGCATGTCTTCGGCCTGCTGCTTGTCAATAGCACCAGCAAACCACGGCTGATTCAGATGAGGCATCGGCTGAGGACAAGGAGTGACAAGTTTCGTGCGAAACTTCGGCGTATTAAACATGTGGTCCTGGTAGTAACTGATCAGTTCATAGAGTGTATCCATTTTCTTCGTTTCTTGCAAAAAGTAATAGGTCACTCCTCGCGTCTGTGACGTCTTGATACGACAATGGTGCACCGTGGCGTGATATCTAAAACAGCAAAATACATAAGAAGTAACAACACAGTGAAATCTGACAGATCCCAGGGA